CTGGCTCGCTTGCTCGGTTTGTGGCAGCCATCTCTGAAAGCCTTCGCTGTTTGAGAGTAACCCCGTCTGGAGGTTCTACAGCTCAGTTGTTCAGTGACCCTGGGAAAAAAGGGAATATTTGGACCATTTTTAGTGGGGCAGCCACCAAAAAAAAGGGGGGAAAAGGGGTGCCACTGAACAACTGAGATAGGGAAGCCGCTGATTTTGAGGTGAGGGCAAAAAAGCCAACTAACCAAGAGGAGTCGGTCGTCTTTCTAGGGGTCTGTGCGCAAACCCATGTTAGCTGGTGGGAGGGAACCAAACCAAAAAACCAGAGGGCAGCCTTGCCACCCTGCCAGACGCCCCTTCTTTTAGCTCCTCCAGCAGAGAGGTTTCAATAAGGGTACCAACTTTTTTCTGTAGTCTATTTTAGTAGGGGAGCCCTCCCCCAAAAAAGTTGGTAAAAGGGCACTACTGGGGGCCGTAGCCTTTGAACCCCACAAAACGCCACCTGACCCGTCGGCCAATCGACCAGGGCCCCCAGGCAGCAGGCACGTGGCCTGGCGGCAGAAGACGCAGCAGCAGCTGCGGCGGCGGTTGTAGCCTCGGAGCTGAGGTGCATGAAGCCTGTCCCTTTGTTGAGGGTACCTTCCATTTGGTTAAGGCCCAAGAAGAAATAAGAATATGTCCAGTAGTGATGAATTCTGTTTAAAACCAACAACAACAACAACAACAACAACAACAACAACAACAACAACAACAACAACAACAACAACAACAACAACAACAACAACAACAACAACAACAACAACAACAACAACAACAACAACAACAACAACAACAACAACAACAACAACAACAACAACAACAACAACAACAACAACAACAACAACAACAACAACAACAACAACAACAACAACACACAGCACAACAACAACAACAACAACAACAACAACAACAACAACAACAACAACAACAACAACAACAACAACAACAACAACAACAACAACAACAACAACAACAACAACAACAACAACAACAACAACAACGACGACGACGACGACGACGACGACGACGACGACGACGACGACGACGACGACGACGACGACAACAACAACAACAACAACAACAAAAAGAAAATGGACGCCTTTCTTGAGGGCGCCCTTTTTTGGTGGATGTCCCCACCATTTTTTTGGGGGGGAGGAGGAAAAGGGTGCCCCCTGAGAAGACACACACACACACACAGACACACCCATATGGGGGTTGATCAAAAGGGAGGTGACCAACAAGGAAACCGCCCAAGCAAATACGACTTTCACCACGCGCAAAAAGTTCCCCAGGTCAATGTTGGGGCCTTTCACAGAAGATTGTCATGCGGCCAAGGGTCACAAACCCAAACCCAAGTCGGTCACCAAATATCTGGTCGATGGTCCCCAAAGAAATCAATGGTTCTGGTTGCGCATTCTCGGCTTCGTTCGTGGCGCTGCTTGAAGACATTGGCTTCCCCATCTGCCAAGGAATCGAATACGTACACACACTAAAGATGGCCCCCCAAAACCCCCCACGGCACATTCTGGAAAGAAGCGAGCCAGCGAAATATCTGCCATCGGGGAACCATCACCCAAAGGGCCACATACCTGCTCAGCTCTGCGAGTGCTTGGAAGTTCGAAAGCACGCCTCTGACTGGGATTCATGAACCTCCTTAGTAAGCAGAAGGTTGCTGAGCTGACCTTGTTCTGTGCCAATGTGTCACTCAGTTCCGCTTCCGGATGATTGATGTTCTGCTTTCAAACTATCACCAAGAAGGGCCCAACCCATCGTCACACAAACCAAAACACACCAAGCCAAGCCAAGCCAAGCCAAGCCAAGCCAAGCCAAGCCAAGCCAAGCCAAGCCAAGCCAAGCCAAGCCAAGCCAAGCCAAGCCAAGCCAAGCCAAGCCAAGCCAAGCCAAGCCAAGCCAAGCCAAGCAAGCAAGCAAGCAAGCAAGCCAAGCAAGCAAGCAAGCCAAGCCAAGCCAAGCCAAGCCAAGCCAAGCCAAGCCAAGCCAAGCCAAGCCAAGCCAAGCCAAGCCAAGCCAAGCCAAGCCAAGCCAAGCCAAGCCAAGCCAAGCCAAGCCAAGCCAAGCCAAGCCAAGCCAAGCCAAGCCAAGCCAAGCCAAGCCAAGCCAAGCACAAACAAACAAACAAAAAAAGCAGCAAAAGCCCACCAGCCACCCAGCCAAGCAGCCAACTGGCCAACTGGCCAACTGGCCAACCCTACCCAAAGAAACCACACCTAGACGTAGCGCGTCCATCCTGGGCTCTCCCGGCCGTCCCGCACAATGGCCGCGTTGTCCGTGCCTCTCGGCGTCTCGGCCGATGCCACCAGTGGACTCGGAAATGAGTCGCTCGCTCAAAACCCTGTGTACAAAAATGGTGTGGTAATCCCGGAACCAGGCTTCGAGAACTAAGCCGGAGATCCGCGGCTATTTATGGCAAGGGGATCGTCCCTAACCGGATCGCTTACCCGGGTTTTGAGCAAGTGGCTCAAATGAGGTCTGCCAGAAAGACCGACCAACGGTGTTTGCCTTTTGCGCTTTTTGGGAATGCCACTCTGTCTTTTTCTAGGAATCGGACACCCCCAAACAGTGGTGTCCCTTCTAAGTTCCCAAAGACCCAAGTGTCTGTAAGGTACCTGAGGCTGCTCCAGCCTCAAATCCAAGCCCTGGCCTGCCAGGAACACCGCTGCCGCATTGCGCCGGAGCCCGTCTGGGTCGTCCCCCTGCCTCTCCTTTCGGTCAACTCGAACATCCGAGTTCGGTCACAGTCCCCTTAGAGTTCCTCCTTAAAAAAAGGAAAGGGGTGGTCCCCCACGACTAGTTGATCACTAAGAAGAAAAGCGATAGGATTCCTCAGGTTCAAGTTGAGCTGATGGGTGTTTGCCCCCAAGGCTCGCGCTTGAACCATCCGGCCCGGACCTCATCAATCCCCCCAAAAAGGAAAAACGTCGACTGGCCTCTTTGGTTTGGACAGTTTGAGCCTGGAAGAAATGAAATCAGCCACTTAGTCCGCAAAGTCGATGGGCGCGCTTCGCAAATTGTGAAACCACTTTTGGCTGGTTACGGGGAAACCAGAAGGAAAGAAACCATGTTTGGGGCCATGTGGAAAAAGCAAAGGGTGATAAAGTCCGGACCGCAAGCCAGGCGGCTTGTCCCGCTATTCACTGGCGCGAAATGGGTACAGTACGGGTCAAAATTAAACCACCCAGAAAAACCGCAAAAATAATCGAGTCCTTTCCATTTACCACGCCGATTTGGGCTTTTTGTTCCCCTATTCTCGGCCCACATTGACCTCGCCCAACGGCATTTGGCTCCGCTCCGAGCGCTCGCTCCACGCCGCGCCTGGACCCGGCGCTGGACATCTTTGGCCCGTCGGCGCCAGGTCTCGCCTGGCCGGAACTCAGTTCAGCCCTGGACCAAAAAGGGGTCCCCCTTCCTGGGGCTTGGACCAATTTTTGGTGGGGCAGCCACCAAAAACACTGGGGAAAATTACCCTTCCTGGGGCTTGGACCATTTTTGGTGGGGCAGCCACCAAAAATATTGTTGGAAAAAGAAGTGGTGCCTCTGAACTGAGGGAAGGCGGGGGCTGGCCATGATGGTTGCGATGGCTGGCCATGTGGATGGCATGCTGTGCATAGGAAAAGGCGTGTGTTTTGTCTGGTAAATGGATGGCATAAGACCCATCTAAACCAGTGGAACCCGTCCATGTTTCACCAGAATGTTTGTTGGTATTTATGTTGGGGAATCAACTCATCCTAGGGTTTCTGAACGGTGGTGCGAAATGGTTTTCGCAACCATCCACAGTTCGGGTCTCGTTGTTCTTTTAAGGTTGGACCAAAATGGTTTCGGCTTTCCCTAAAAGAGGACCTGGTGGGAGAAAATGGGCGGCCCCTCCCCCAAAATGTTGGGTTTTCCCAGAATGGTCTGCTTTCCTTGCGGCGCTTCCCTTGAGAAACAAAAAAGGGTACCAACTCCAAAAAAAGAAACGCCCATGCGCTGTTTCAGAGCCATAGCGAGCTAAGCCATTCTAGCCTAGTAGTGACCATCAGTGACTATCCAGTGGCCGACAACGTTGGGCCATAAGCCTATGCCGAATCAGAAATTCGCTTTGACTATCTCGCAACATCCGTACAAACACTTCACCTTGCCTTTCAGGGAACCCTCAACATGGGCGGCGAAACCTTCAAGTTCCCTTTTAAAATGCAAGCTGCCTTTCACCCTGCGTGCCTTCAATTTCCCTGCTACAATGCAAGCTGCCTGTTCACCCTGTGCCTTCGATTTCCCTAAAGCAACCCAACAAAGCGTACCCAAAGACGAGCCGCCCATTTCTCAGAAGTGCTTCAATCGGAGCCCTGGGAGCCAACCGGGCCATCGTGCCTGGGGACCCAAGCAGCTCGTAGATGCTCCGAAAGATGTGGTGGATTCGTTATATGCGGCGCAAATAAATATATATATATATATAATACATACATACATACATACATACATACATACATACATACATACATACATACATACATACATACATACATACATACATACATACATACATACATACATACATATATATACATATGTATATATATATATATATCTGTACACATGTTATTGCATTGTTTTTGTTTGTTGTTTTCTTCCACCTTTTCCCTAGACTGCGCCATCCTCAGAAGATCTGCACGACCGTAACTCTGGGAAGAGACCTCGAGCCTGCGTGCTCACAGTAGCAGCCCCCAGGGCGAGCATCAGCTGGGGCAAAAGCCAAGGCAAAAAATCCTTCACCTGCAAATTTGACGGACTTCGCCAAACATTCCCAGACTGATGCTGAGCACTGTTATGGACCAATGGACTTTGCCAAAAGCCATAAAACCTAGGTCCTCCAGATTTGAGAGGTTCGAATAAGGGTACCCTTTTTTCTGTAGTCTATTATTGTAAGGGAACCCTCCCAACCAACCGAGGCTGCAATCCCCTGCTTGGCTCTCAGCTCACTGCCATGTGCAGCCCTGGTTTTCCCAAAAGTCACAAGTGCTTTTGCTTGTTGTGCTGCAGAACATAGAAGATCCGTGGCAGCTTGCGTGATGCTCCCGTGCACCTCCGATGACCCATCTGCAGCCCTTGTCCCTCCAAAACGTGCAGGAACTACGACTTTCTGTCCTGCAGAACATGTCCGATCCACTGCAGTGCCCCATCTTGCCCAGCTCACTGCTCACGCCACTTTCCCACCAACAACCTTTCTCCTTCCAGAATCTGCAGGTGCTTTCTGATGTTTGCACGCAAAAGGTGTCTTGGCCTTGGCAGTAGCCTTGGGCTTCTTGATCCGCGACAGCACGCACTTGCAACGCGCTAAAGGCGCAGTCTGCGCAATCGTCAGTGTCCAGGGCGGAAAGGATCTCATCCCCTTGGGCCAGTGCCATCAGGACAATCACAATGATTGACATTGAAACGAACCGGAAGGAGGGTTGTCTTCCAGCTTGAGCCTAGTGGCTATGCTTCAGCATTACAATGGATAAAATCAAAGGCTTGAGCCTCGTGGCTATGCTTAAGCATTACAATGGATCAAAGTACATTACATTATACATTACATTACATTACATTACATTACATTACATTTACATTTACATTTGCATTACATTAAATTGCATTACATACATTACATACATTAATTACATTACATTACATGACATTACACTACATTGCATTCGATTCCGTTGCATTGCATTGCACATTACATTACATTACACTACAGTACATTATATTCCATTGCATTACAGTACATTCCTAGCATTGCACTACATTATATACATACATTACATCACGTTGCATTACACTACATGACATTACATTGCATTACATACATGCATACATACATACATTACATACATACATTACAAACATACATTAATACATACATACATACACACATACATACATACATTCATTCATTCATACATACATTACATACATACATACATACACCACATACCTACATTACACACATACCTTCCTTACCCTGCATTGCATTGCATTACATTACATTGTGTTACACTACATTCATTCATACATACATATATACATTACATACATACATACATACATACATACATACGTACGTACATACATACATACATACATACATACATACATATGTAACATACATTACATACATACATACATACATACATACACAAATAAATAAATACATACATACATACATACATACATACATACATACATACATACATACATACATACACACATACATACATACAGGCATACATACATACAGTGGAAGCCGTAAGATTGCAAGTGCCACCAAGGCAAATGTTGACACCATTTCTGTGGCATCGCCCGCTGCGTGCGGACCCCTCTCCCCCAGTTACACTGTTGAAGCCAAGTGCGTAACCCGTCTTCCGAGGCCCAATATGTTGCAAGTTCAACATTTTTCTTCCAAGTTTCACGAGTTTCACGAGTTTCACACAACTTCCAACGAGTTTTAGGACGAGCTCTGGCCAAGTTTCACAAGTTTCACATGTCGAGGCTGCTTTGGGGTTCACACCTGTGCCTGCTCACCCCAGACAGTGGAAGCCCTAAAAATTGCAAGTGCCACCAAGGCACATGTTGACACCATTTCTGTGGCATCGCCCGCTGCGCGCGGACCCCTCTCCCCCAGTTACACTGTTGAAGCCAAGTGCGGAACCCGTCTTCCGAGGCCCAATATATTGCAAGTTCAACATTGTATCAAGGGAAGGGGGGCCACAGATATCATGCCACAGTGCTTCCTTTAGTGGACCGTGCCCTTTGGTTTTCTGCTCCGCACTTGCAATGGGCTTCTCCCGTACATTACAAAAAATGCTTTTTTGTCCTGAAAAGCATGACCTCCTGCTGGCCAGGCCTGTCTGACGTGTCTGAAACTAGGCTCAGGCCCAGCTCCCAGCCTATGAGCAGGCTCAGCCCAGCGTGCCAAGAGTCGGTTTGTCTAACGTGTCTGAGACTGGCCTCAGGCCAACAACCAGTCTCACGTGTCTGAGACTGGTCCAGCTACTAAGCCTGTCTGACGTGCCCCAGCCGGCTAAGCAGCTCAGCCCAGGCCGACCTCCTGCTTGCGTCTGGCCCCAAGTCATCCAGCAGGCCCAGCCCCTTCGGCGCAGTCTGACACTGGTCTCAAAGTATGCCAGCCTGAGACTAGCCAGGCCCAGTCCCTCAGCCCGCCTGCTGGCGTGTCTTACGTGCCGGCAGGCAGCCAGCAGCCCCGCCGCATCTCAGGCAACACGTGCCCAGCCCCTGTCCGGCTGCCCAAGCAGCTCAGCCCAGGCTGGCCAGGCCTTGACCTCCTGCTCGCGTCTGGCCCCAAGTGGCGCAGTCTGAGACTGGTCTCAAAGTATGCCAGCCTGGGACTAGCCTCAGGCCCAGCCCGCCTGCTGGCGTGTCTTACGTGTCTGCGACTGGCCTCAGGCCCAGCTCAGCCAGCAACTCGCCACCCAGCAACCAGCAGCGTTGTCCGGCTGCCCGGCAGCCAGCAACCCACCCCTAGCTTCAGGCCCAGCCCCCCAACCAGCAACCCACCTCAGCCCAGCCTGCCCAGCCGGCATCTGAGAGCATGCCAGCCACTAGGCCGGCCCCCAGCTCCCCCCACCAGCAGGCTCAGTCTCACGTGTCTGAGACTGGTCGCAAGCTACGCCAGCTACCAAGCCTGTCTGACGTGCCCCCCCCAAGTCATCCAGCAGGCCCAGCCCCTTTGGCGTCTCAAGGTATGCCAGCCTGAGACTAGCCTCAGGCCCAGTCCCTCAGCCCGCCTGCTGGCGTGTCTATTGGGGATATTTTTCCGAGGTACTTAAGCAAATGGAGGTTTGTATTCCCACCATGTACCTGTCTTGGGCTGAGCAACCGAGCAAGAAATGTATGTCATGGCAAGCCGCCAGCCACGTGAAATGGAGGTGCCCAAACACCCAAAGTTGTGACACCGATTATTGTTCCCCTTTTTATGGAGGCCAAGCCCCACTAAAAATGCTCATCCCCAGAAAGAGGTCCTTTTTTTTCCAAGGGCACTGAGCAGCTGAGATAGTCTTGGTTTTGGACTTCAAACCTTCCGAGCAGGACGGCTTCCGAACATCGAACTAGCACGGGCGAACTGGTGCGGTCACAAGCTTCGGACCTTCCCAACACTGGATTTCGGTGTTCCTGACCCTTCCCTCAAACTAGGCTGGGCCGAGGCGGGCAACGCGAAGCGTTTACAATTACATTACACTACATTACATTAGTCCCATTGCATTACACCACAGTACTTTACATTGCTGTACTTTGCTGTAAAATAAGACCATACATATACACATGTCTTTCCTGCAAATGTACATTGAAAAAAAAAGTGGGCTTGCCTTGGGTCTCCTCTCAAAAGACATCCCATTCTCCTCTCCGCCGAGTTCTTCCCTGGCCGCGCCTTCCGACTGATCCAGAGCCTGTTGGACCAAATCGACCACCTCAGCTTCTCAAAACGTCTCAAAACGGCTCAAAACGCGTACTGCCCTTGCCTTAGTTGGCTTGGAGTAACATGGATTTGACAATATTCCCTGCAAGCCTGGCACGCCAATGCTTTTTGTATTGAGATGTTCCATGCGTTGCTGCTTGGCGCAAACCGTCACGCGTGAGTCTGCAGTCATGCAGACTCGCGTGACTCAGGCTTCATCGGCCTCTTCCGCAAGGGCTTCGATTCGAGATGTCCGTGGCAGCTTTCAAAGCAAATCAACTAGCCTTCACAGACCAAACTGGAGGCATGTTTCTAGTTCCCGACATGGCCCCAATCACCAGACATCAAGATTTGGAGCCTGAACGGCGCGAAACAGTCCATCTGCGATCCACATCACCCGAGAGCCCGGCTGGAGCCTCCCCATCGGAGCCTAGGCTTTGGCAGGGAGGACCACAGGGGCCATCGGTATCGGCACCTTGCAAACGGTGTTGAAGATGGACCCTCGTTCGTGTGGGTGTTTCTCAAAGGAATCAGTCTTTTAAGATGGTTGGTGTCTTTGTGGGTTTCCTTTAAATGCCGACTTAAAGGGGGTTTACCACTTTGAGAAAGCCCCCCATATACGGGTGTCCATGTGTGGGTCGTCAAACGCGCCATTCGCACGGTTCGCACCAGGGATGCCTCGAAATTTTCAGGAAGCCATGTGGCAATCCAAAGACTTGGCTGGTGCACTAGGCATGAGAAATGGAATGAAGTTGGGTATTCCAACGAATAAAGGAAGCCATGGGATGGATGTTTTATTTCGGGCTCGGACTCCGTTTCAGGCTGAGGCCTCCCAAGCCCAGCGATATTAACTTGGCCCCCTGACCCATCGGCGGTTTCAGCAGGTAGTTCACTGGCACGCCCTAGCGGAAACCGCGCCAACTTTCCCACGTAGATCCCTGTCCAAAAAGCGTCCCGCTTGGGCAAAGAACAGTCGCCTTCGTGGTTTCCAGGCAAAAAACACCGCCGCTTTGCAGGAAATCAACCCCAGGTGTTCGGCAGATTACACCATGGCCTCGCCCTACCATTTGATCCTAGCATTCGGATGACGATATGTTACTCCACATGATGCTGGAAGCTGACAGGGCGGCTTTGTAAGCCTACCATCAATCCATCTATTTTCAACCAATGCTTGTGTGTATGGCTGTGTATGTGTGTGTGTGTGCGTGTGCGGCGTGTGTGTGTGTGGCCTTGTCTGTGTGTGTGATTGTATAAGATTGTGTGTGATTGTGTCTGATTGTGTGTGATTGCGTGTCATTGCGTGTGATTGTGTGTGATTGTGTGTGTGTGTCTGTGAGTGTGTGTGTGTGTGCGTGATTGTGTGTGTGTGTGGTTGTGTGTGTGTGATTGTGTGTGCGATTGTCTGTGGTTGTGATTGTCTGTGTGTGTGATTGTCTGTGTGTGTGTGTGTCTGTGTGTGTGTGTGTCTGTGTGTGCGTGTGTGCGTGTTTGCGTGTGTGTGCGTGTGTGCGTGTGTGCGTGTGTGTGCGTGTGTGCGTGTGTGCGTGTGTGCGCGTGTGCGCGTGTGTGCGCGTGTGCGCGTGTGTGTGTGTGTGTGCGTGCGTGCGTGCGTGCGTGCGTGCGTGCGTGCGTGCGTGCGTGCGTGCGTGCGTGCGTGCGTGCGTGCGTGCGTGCGTGCGTGCGTGCGTGCGTGCGTGCGTGCGTGCGTGCGTGCGTGCGTGCGTGCGTGCGTGCGTGCGTGCGTGCGTGCGTGCGTGCGTGCGTGTGCGTGTGCGGTGCGTGCGTGGGTGCGTGCGTGCGTGCGTGCGTGTGCGTGTGTGTGTGTGTGTGTGTGTGTCTATGTGTGTGTGTGTGTGTTTGTGTGTTTGTGTGTTTGTGTGTTTGTGTGTTTGTGTGTTTGTGTGTGTGTGTGTGTGTGTGTGTGTGTTTGTGTGTTTGTGTGTTTGTGTGTTTGTGTGTGTGTGTGTGTGTGTGTGT